CTTTTTTTTTTTTTGAGTTGGCGTCTCACTCTGTCACTCAGACTGGAGTGCAGTGGCTGCTCCCGGTCACTGCAGCCTCGACCAGTTGGGCTCCAGCGATCCTTCCACCTCAGCCTTCCAAGTAGCTGGAACTACAGGCATACGCTATCATGCCTGGCTAATTTTTTATTTACTGTAGAGATGAGGTCTCGCCAAGTTGCCCAGGTGGGTCTCGAACCCGCGGGCTCAGGCAATCCACTCACCTCGGCCTCCCAAAGTGCTGGGATTATAGGCTGAGCCACCAAGCCTGGCTGGTAATATATACTTAAATATCACTTACCTAAGAATGAAGAGCCCAAAATAATAATTAAACAAAAGATTAAAAAACACCACATCTGTCTGTTTCATATTTGTGGTTGACCAGCATTTTAGCACTTAATTTTGACACCAAAAATTTAATTTTATACCAAAAATCAACCCAGTTCTCAGGATGATTTTTTCTAATGAAAATCTGGTAGAAATTTCCAGCAAGTACCATCACCAAGATAGCAAGATCATCTAATCCAATAAAAATGGACACAAACAGTAAGATATTCTTCCATGAATCAGAGGGGAACTAAATAGAATCCTCTATTATAATACCAGGAAGGAAAGAGAGAAAAAAATTACACAAGTGCAATCAGAGGGTTTCATAAAAAGTGGAATTTAAAGATAACACAAGAGACAAAACACTTGTGTTATCTTTTGGGGGCAATAAAGACAAAGGAGTGAATGGAATAGGAGGACAAGAGGGATATCAAAGTTTAAAATGTCTTTGACCATCACAGTATTGCTAGAGGTTAAAATACATAGGCCGAGTTTTTAGTTAAGAGGCAATGTGGGTTTTTTCAAGGTTGTTAAGTACTAGAGTGCTTGTAAAAAAGCACTAGAAAAGCACTCGAGTACTCAACAACCTTGAAAATGAAAGTAATAACAGAACTGACATCACATTCTGCTCTTGCCCCTATCTTTTCTTTTCAGCCAGTGATTCCATTAATATATTAAGATATACTGGCTGTTCCTTCACCTGGCACACACCTCTCCCAAGTACATGTGTGGTTCCTGCCTTGCTTGGACTCTCCACTCAAATGTCACCTCTGCAGCAAGGACTTCCCTGGCCATGGTATCTCAAACTTTCCTCTCGCCACTACTTGTTATCTCCCTTTCCTACTTTATTTTTCTTCTCAGTGCTCATTGCTTTCTCCTGTACAGTAAATCCCCTATATAAGAACCTTCAAGTTATGAACTTTACTGATGCACATCTACTTATTTTATGTAATAATTCTCTCCACCAGGTGTCAGTATAGACTGTTAAATACATATAGTACTATATAGCTGATTGTGTTAGTTGGGTACCTAGTCTAACTTTGTTGGACATACAACAAATTGGACCTACAAACATGACCTTGGAACAGAACTCATTCGTATGTTGGGGACTTCCTGTATTACATATTTTAGAAGTTTCTTTTGTCTCTCCTGTCTCCTCCACTAAAATGTAAGCTCCAAGAAGCCAAGTACTTTGGCTGCTCTGTTCACTGCTATGTCCTAGTACCCAGAACACAGTGTGGAATAATGTAGGAATTCAAAAGTCATTTGTTATGAATGAATGAAAACGTGACAAAAGTACTTTTGAGTATTCTTAAATTTTGTATTAGTTTCTATAGATCTGCAAAGCCAAAGAAGAATGTGTCAAACTTTAAAATCTACATATTAGACCAGGTGCAGTGACTCATGACTATAATTCCAGCACTTTGAGAAGCTGAGGCAGGGGAACTGCTTGAGCCCAGGAGTTTGAGACCGGCCTGGGTAACACAGCGAGACTTTGTCACTACAAAAAAATTAAAAAATCAGCCGGGAGTGGTGGTGCATGCCTGTAGTCCCAACTACTCAGAAGGCTGACAGAAGGATCGCCTGAGTCCAGGAGGTCAGCGCTGCAGTGAGTCATGATTGTACTGTTGTACTCCAGACTGAGTGACAGAGTGAGACCCCAACACTCAAAAAAAGACATAAAATAATTAACTCATTCATTCATCAGTCCATATACTCACCAAGGGAAGCACAATTATCCTCCACTGCTGTAAAGCTGCAAGCATATGTGTGAGCAGGAACATAGGCAGCAGACGTATTTAGAAATGGGTCCCAAACAATGACATTATAAATGACACCTTGTCCCAGGAGGGAGGAGAAGGAAACACTCGTCTTGTCATTAGCTGTAAGGGTAACCACCTGAAGTCAAAAATAATGTGTAATTAGTGTTAAAAAGCTATTCTATTATAATCTCACCTACATGTAATATTAATGACAATATTAAGTTATAATTGTTTAAAATATACCCCACCCATTGAGTTTTGTCAAAAGACCATCCTACATGGTTTGCATGTGCTAATATAAACAAGTTCTTGTACAAAATGCTTTCAGAGTTTCTGTATAGTGGTAAACATGTTAATAGTTTAAGTAAAATATGATATAAATAGTGTCTAAATGTTAGTAAAGACAAAGTAAAAAAAGTTCTTCTCATCTGAAAGAACATAAGCAACTAAGGGCAGGAGCCCTATTTATCTGACTTACTACTCTTTTCTCACTACTAAGCATGATGCCTAGCACAGGGTAAGTTTCAACAATGTCAGTCACTACTATTGGCCATTGAGCTGATGTAGACAAGTCTGTTAACATCTCATAGAAAAAAACCACTTATTTTTGTCTAAAAGGCTCTAAAATAAAAAAAAAATTACTGAGGTTTTATTATGTGGCAGTCCTTAACTTCAAAAATTCTCTTTTAAACTATACAAGAAACAAATATCCTATACAACCATAATAGATGGATATGTTCCTACTAATGTGAGAAAATTAAATATTAGCATTTCAAGAATAAATAATTATGAGCCTCCTAGAAGACTATCACTATTTTAAAATATTGCAGCCGGGCTCGGTGGCTCAGCCTGTAATCCCAGCGCTTTGGGAGGCTGAGGTGAGTGGATTGCCTGAGCCTGCGGGTTCGAGACCCACCTGGGCAACTTGGTAAAACCTCATCTCTACAATAAATCAAAAAATTGGCCAGGCATGGTAGCGCATGCCTGTAGTTCCAGCTACTTGGAAGGCTGAGGAGAAAGGATTTCCAGAGCCCAGGAGGTCGAGGCTGTGGTGGCCGGGAGCGTGCCATTGCACTCCAGTCTGGGCAGCAGAGTGAGACTCCAACTCAGAAAAAATAAAATAAAATATTGCTTAGCCTTCAAAAACTTGTTTCCTAGAAAAAGGACGGGTCAATTTAAAAAAAAAAAAAAAAGTTAATATTACCACTTACTCACCTAAGTTTTTATCATGAGAAATTTAAGCCATACAGCAATGTTGAAAGAAAATATAATAGACTATATTCTGCCATTTAAAACTCAACAATTGCTAATATTTTATGGTATTTGCTCTTCTATCCCTCCCTCTTTCTCTTTTTTTTCCCTGTTGAAAGTTACAGATATCATGATATTTCACTTCTAGATAGTTTAGTGTGCATGTCCTAACACAGTGTTTCTTAAACTTGATGTGCCTGTTAATCGCTGAGAGAATCTTGCTGAAATGCAGGTTCTGATTCTGTAGATAAGGGCTGGTACCTGCAATTCTGCTTTCCTAACAAGCTCTCAGGTGACGCCAATGCTATATATCCATCTACCATACTCTGAATAGCAAGGTACTAAGTTCAGATGCTCTTCGACTTATGATGGGGTACACCAGGATATAAACTCATCATAAGTCAGTAAAGCACCTCACACCAGGCAAAGACATCCTAGGTGGCACAGCAAAAAGATAAGACCTTGCGGTGCAACAGACTATGCCTCTAGGCTATTTCAAACACTTCTTTCTGAACAATCTGGTGATCTATCAAATCTTCTGGGAAGAATCATAGTCTAGAAAAACTCCAAAGTGAGCGGATTGCCTGAGCCCATGGGTTCAAGACCCACACGGGCAACTTGACAAGACCTCATCTCTACAATAAATCAAAATTAGCCAGGCATGCTAGCGCGTGTCTACAGTTTCGGCTACTTGGAAGGCTGAGGCAGAAGGATCTCCAGAGCCCAGCAGGTCGAGTGCCACTGCACTCCAGTCTGGGAGACAGAGTGAGACTCCAACTCAAAAAAAAAGACTCCACCATCATGCATCCGACTGAAGCATGACCCAGTATATTATACTGCTATCAGGTACATATCAAGATTTAGAATCCCGCCATCCACAAAAATGATCTATAACAGTGATTATCACATTTTAATATGCATAAGAATCACAGGGGGGTCTTATAAAATGTAAATTCTGATTCAGTAGTTCGAGGGTGGAGCCTAAAAATTGCAATTCTAGCAAACTCCCAGGAGACACCACCACTACTAGTTGGTGGTTCACATTTGGAGCAGGAATTGTTTACAGGGACTCAAAAGCTCAGAGAAAATTTTTCCTGCAATTTAGAGACTTTGAACTTGGAATGAAATATCAAAGTCAGTGTATATATCTTTAAGCAGTTTCTCATTTTTTTTTCTCAAAACACTGTTACCTTTATACTTGCCAAAAGATTTTATCTAATAGTTATGGTAGTATACAAAAAATTACCACCTACTTCCATCCACATCTCAAGATTACCACATCATAGATGTAGCTGTAAATAAAACTTGACATAATTGATGTGCAACTCCTCAAAAACCAACATCATTTCAAGATATCACTAGCAAAGACTCCCAAGATGATAACAAAATGAAAGAGAATAAAGTGATTGTGCCAAAGTGATTTACTAAGAATTGAGCTCCTAGGAGCTCCTTCCCTTCTCAACTCTTACAAAGGCATCACAATCTAGCCACACCAACCATGAGATCACATTTACCTTGGTAGCATGGGCCTTCACCTGGGGTACCTGGACCATCCTCTGCAGATGCCTTAGCAATACCTCCTCAGTAAGGTCATTCTCGGGCAGAAAATACTGATACACTTCATACTGCAACCTCCACCTGGAGTCTTGGCCCGTCTCGATGTCACAAGGTGGAGGATCTGCGCCTCTAAAGTCAACCAACAAAACTGAACATCGGTCTCTTGTGGCACAAGTTTCATTATAAAAAAGAACCAAAAACTCTAATTTCAAACTTATGCCACAATAATTCCAATTTAACAGTTTATCTTTTGCAGGGGCAATAATCAATATTCTGAAGAAAAGTAACACGTTATGGACTGAATGTTAGTGCCCCCACCCAAATTCGTATGCTGAAATCCTAACCCCCAGTGGTACTGGGAGGCGGGGCCTTTGGAAGGAGATTAGGTCATGGGGATGGAGCCCCCATGAATGGGATTAGTGGTCTTAGTTCTTACAGAAAAGACCCCAGAGAGCGCTCTTGCCCTCTGTCATGTAAGAACACAATGAGAAGTCATGGTGGCTCATGCCTATAATCCTAGCACTTTGGGAGGCAAAGGTGGGAGAATCACTTGAGTCCAGGAGTGTGAGAAGTTAATTGTCTGCAACCCAGAAGAGGGTCCTCACCAGAACCCAACTGTGCTGGCACCCTGATCTTGGAATTTCAGCCTCCAGAACTGTGATAAATACATATCTGTTGTTTATAAGCCACCCAGTCTGTGGTACTTTGTTACAGCAGCACAAATTGACTAAGACACCCACTGAGAGGCAAGTGTGGTTAAATAACCTGATTCTGATGTCTGTCAGGCTAGAGTAACAATGGTGGCATTGCCATTTGTCAGCTGTGTGCATGTAAAAGAGTCATTTACCCTCAATTAACCTAAGGAACCTCTTGTAAAATAAAAGCAACTGACCTTTCTTCATCAAATTGTTAGGACTAAATGAGAAAGAACATACAGCACTCAGCACTACAGATGAGGTACAGGAAGCACTCAAATGTTTCTCAAATGCAAGTTATCATTACTATTAAGCAGAAACCTAGATAGAGCTGTAATCAAAACATGAAATCCCTATAAAAAGATAAGGCTGTTTCAGGGCTACTGAGTGCTTTCTATATTTAAAATGCTTTATAAAAACTAGAATGAGGCCAGGCACTGTGGCTCATGCCTGGAATCCCAGCACTTTGGGAAGCTGAGGTGGGAGTTTGAGACCAGCCTGGGCAACACAGCAAGACCTTCTCTACAAAAAATAAAAAACAAAAAAAGTTAGCCAGGTGTGGTGGCACTCATCCAATGTCCTAGCTACTCAGGAGGCTAAGGCGAAAGGATCACCAGAGCCCAGGAAGTCAAGGCTGCCGTGAGCCAAGGTGAACCACGGTTCTGTCACTACACTCCTGCCTGGGCAACAGAATGAGACTTCGATTCAAAAAGGCAAAAAACCCAAGATGTACTTCCAAGCTCATCATAGACTCACATCTAGCTTTCCAAATAAGAATAAAAAAGAGTTCATAAGAATGAAGGGGGAAAATATTAAGTGAAAATGGTGGCTCAAATATTAGCAATAAAGTTTAAATTAAACCAGTTCCAAAAAACATTAAGCAACTCAATTTTACTACAGAGAACTATGGATTTGAGTGAGTTGGCTGAATCTACACAACAGTTAGTCACATGTGTTCAAAAACCAGTTTTAGGAGATGGGAGACAGACATACCTTGCATAGCCCAGGTTTGCTGGGGCAAATTTGATAGTTGTTTCAAATAAATTATACTCCAAGTAAATGTTGGGATCAATATCTAAATCAAACTCCAAATTACAGCCTCCAGGGATAGGATCTGGATGAGAAATAAGCAAGTTACTAAAATAAAGAAGTCTTACATATCCAAATCATACTCAGAAAAACAGAACCCTTCTCTTATAAGAACTTCCCGTATAAAAGAGAAATATCAACCCAGAGCTTCTGGTAATATACTAGCTCATTAACTGAGGTTCAGAGTCCTAAAATAGAGCACAACAAACCTTTTCTGTGAAAGACCTAGAATTTTAGGCTTCATCATATGTCAGTCTGATGGTCTCTGTGGTAACTACCCAATCCTGCCCTTGTGGCATGGAAGTAGCCATAGACAGTACATAAAGGGATGGGCATAGCTGTGTTTCAATAAAACTTTATGTACACAAAGAGGCAGCAAGCTAGATTTGGCTGGTGGTCTACAGTTTGCCAATCTCTGCTACAGAGTTAAAAAGGTCAACAATTGCTGACCTCCCCTGGTCAGATTTAGAATGAAAATATGCAATGTGCACTTATGTTTCAACATCTTGTGGCATCTTCCTCAAAATTCCCTGCTCTTCTTTCATATTCTTTTTCTGTATTTATGGATGTTTACCAAACCAGAGAAAATGACATGTATTCCAGTTGAAGCTCCACTGTTCATAATTTTTCTTTGTATACTGTTCTTGATGGAAGCCTGAAGTCTATGGTTTATCAGGTAAGTAGCCTTTTGTTACAGATAACATGTCTTTCTCAGTTCCGGTAGTCTTTCAGATTCCCCATCTTTACTAACTACTGCTCCCTCTCCTTCCCTCTTCCCCTCAAACTTAAGGAGCAATCTAAATTTCTTTACCTCACTTTCCCTCCTCAATCACTGTAATGTAGCTTTCACTCCTGTTATGCCACTAAAGTGATGCTCACAAAAGACCCCACTGACTCTTGCTTGCTCTGTCACATGGACACTTTGTCACTTCTCTTGATCTCTCTACAGTGCACTTATTCACTGCTCCTTGCTTAAGGCAGAACCTCCCAAACTCTCTTCCTACTTCTCCAACTACTCCTCAGCCTTGTGCTTATCCTTAGCAGTCAGCCTCCCCCAGAAAATGCCTGCCACATGGGAGGCTTCAGGAAAGTATCTGCTATTATTTTTTCCTCTAAATCTCTAAGTACATGCCTACACAAGCACTCTCACTATCATGGCTTTTATTAGCAGTTATTTAGTTGACTCTCTAACCTCACCTCTCCATTCCTGGCCATTGGCCCACTATGCAGTTCCATCCAATATCCTACAAGCATCTCAGGCTTATTGTGTCCCAAATGAAGTCATCCTTGACTCCATCCCATCCCCCCAACAGTCAGTGCTACAACCACCCTGTTCCTACATCTCTTTTGTATCACTATCTCTAACTGTCCAAATAGGAAACCTAATGTTTCCCTCTTATAATCCATAACCACTGGTCGCTATGTCTTATCAATTCTACCTTCTGAATATCTCAAACCCAGCTCCTCTTCTCCATGCCTCACTCTTGGCCTCTGTTCAGATCCTCATTTCTCACTCTCAGACTTCAAAGGTGAGCTGAGTCCAGACCCTGCCATAACCTCTTCAATCCACTCCCCATTCTGCTTCTAGAGTTAGCTTTCTGTGAGACAAAATAGACATCATTCCTCTGCTTAAAAACTCTATGTTTGGCCAGACACAGTGGCCCACGTCTGGAATCCCAGCACTTTAAGAGGTCAAGGTGGGAGGACTGCTTGAGCCCAGGTGTTCAAGACTAGCCTGGGCAACATAGTGAGACCTCATTTCTACAAAAAATTAAAAATTTGCTGGGTGAAGTGGTGTGTGCTTATAGTCCTAACTACTCAGTCTGAAGCAGGAGGACTGCTTGAGCCCAGGAATTTGAGGCTATGGTGAGCCATGACTGTGCCACGGCACTCCTGCCTGAACAACACAGTGAGACTCCAACTCAAAAAACACACATACACACACACACACACACACACACAAACACACAAAAACTCAATGCTTCCTTAGAAGTTATCTCAAAACAGAGTACAAACCTCAAATTGTATGCAAGGCCAATCACAGTCTGGCTCCAGCCACACCCACTTTGCGTAACTCTCCAAATACTCTATTCTTCATGAAGTTAAGCTTAGTGCTTCCTCTGCATGGAATAGTTAACTCAACTGGGTCTTGCCTTACTTACTGTTACTGCTTCTCCTTTAATGTTTTTTGAATAAATAAACTTATTCTCTGATTCACTACGTAAGCTTTCAATCATCATGATAATTATCTGGCTCCCTTTCTATACAAACATTCTGATTAAATAAATTGCACTGTAAGCCGGGCTCGGTGGCTCAGCCTGTAATCCCATGCCTTCGGAGGCTGAGGTGAGTGGATTGCCTGAGCCCGTGGGTTCGAGACCCGCCTGGGCAACTTGGCAAGACCTCATCTCTACAATAAATCAAAAATTAGCCGGGTGTGGTAGCGTGCGCCTGTAGTTCCAACTACTTGGAAGGCTGAGGTGGAAGGATCGTCGGAGCCCAGCAGGTCGAGGTTGCAGTGGCCCGGAGTGGCCACTGCACTCCAGTCTGGGTGACAGAGTGAGACTTCAACTCACAAAAAACAAAACAAAACAAAAATTGTACTGTAATAAACAATCTTAATAGGATAATTTTCCTTAAATTTTCATGAACACATCCCATATTCCAGAGAGCAATAGGGAACTGAAGACAGAAAGGCTACCTCTTTCTGAGTAGGTGAGAGGAATGGCCACATTTTGGACAGGCTCCGTGTCTGAAGTCTCCAAGTACCAAGTGCACGTACTCTGCTCTGGTCTAAGAATGAAAACCAGTCCTCTGTCAGTGCCTGTTTCCGAGGTATTGGGAAGGAGAGTCTGCAGTTAGGAAGAAAAGTCATCATGAATAGGGAATCAAACAAAAGATAAAAATTATAGAGCTCATTCAGTATGCATACCCTATTAAAAAAATCTTCTCAAAGCAAAAAGAAAAAAAAAAAGACCTTCCTTAAGTAATTAAACAATTCTTTTCATCTCTATAATCATGTGCCCACAGAAACACATGGAACAGCATGCTTTAAAATATATGATTGTCTTAGTTCAGGCTGCTATAAAACATACGCAGGTTAGGTGATTTATAAATAACAGAAATTTGTTTTTCACAGTTCTAGAGGCTGGTAGTTTGAGATCAGGGTGCCAACATAGTTCTGGTGAGAGCCTTCTTCTAGATTGCAGACGGTCATGTTTTTGTTGTATCCTCACATGGCAGAAAGACAAGAGTGCTGTCTGAGGTCCTTTTTATAAGGGCACTAATCCCATTTGTGAGGATTCCATCCTAATGACCTAATCACCTCCCCAAAACAGTGATTATACCAACACATTGAAGTTTAGGATTTCAACATATGAATTTGTGGGGAAAACAAATGTTTAGTCCACAACAATAACCTTTGGTCAGGAATTGCAGATGCACACTGAAATTCCCAAGCATTTCAATTCACCTGAATTAAGATTTACTGTCAAGAACTGAGAGACAAAAACATCCGTCCTAGCCCCAAGGAGTTAACAGGTTTTTTTGTTGTTGTTTTTTGTTGTTTTTTGAGTTGGAGTCTCACTCTGTCACTCAGGTTGGGGTGCAGTGGCACACTCACAGCCACCCTAGCATCAACCTGCTGGGCTCAGACAATCCTTCTGCCTCAGCCTTCCAAGTAGCCGGAACTACAGGTACGCGCTACCACGCCCGGATAATTTTTGATTTATTGTGGATACGAGGTCTCACCAAGTTACCTGGGCCGATCTCGAACCCACAGCCTCAGGCAATACACGTGCCTCAGCCTCCCAAAGTGCTGGGATTACAGGCTGAGCCACCGAGCCCAGCTGAGTTAGTTTTTAAAAAGCTTTTTAAGTCAATGACATACTACAAACGATGCATAAGTATACTATTAAGTTTCGATACATGTAGACACCTGTGAAACCATCCCCACGATCAAGACAATGAACACAAACAGTATTACCCCGAAGAGTTTTCTTGTGCCTCTTCTTAATCCTTCCTCACATCTCTAACTTCTACCATTCCCCACTCCCATTGGTTGAAAAACTTTTTGAATAGCGCTAAGCTAAGAAGTAACAGATTCACGATGCTCTCTTAAAGCTAAGAGAACAGAGAATGAAAAGGTACCAGATCTGTTTCAATTTGACAAGCATACCAGAGAATGACTCAACTATTAATTGATAAACTACAGAGTCAACAGCATCAAAGAACCAACTGCCATGATGACCCAAAAAAACCAAAGTGTCACGCTTCATCAGGAAGGGCCCATGACACAGAAACAATTCACAGACCACCACTCACTTCTAGAGCCATGTGCAGTTCTGCTCATCATCTTCTGAGTAATATAACAGTGGTAAATAAAGGCAGCCCAAGAAGTCAAAACTACATATTACATTTAAAGCTAACCAACATCCTTTCTACATAAAAATCAAAGCCCAAGATGCTGTTCATCTAGGCCTGTTTTGTCACTTGCTAGCTAAAATGTTAACATCTCTTTATCCAAATTCTGCTTCATCAGACGTAGAAACAAGCATCACAACTACTTTGTTCAACTACAGTGAGAATTAGCTATAAGGAAGACCAAACACAGGGGTTCTTGCATCCAGGCCTCTCTCATCTGCCTAAGGGTCTCACTGAGTTTCTAGAGAGCCTCCTGAAATTATATATTTTGCCTGGGAGAAAGTTCATAGTCTTGAGAAGCCTGTGGTTCCAAGAGCTTAAGAACTGCTGGCCTAGCACATAGTAGGCATTCTATAATACTTTTTTCCTCATCCTTTCTCTTTTCCTTTGAATGTTGTCTTTGCTATATCATCATTAAGGAAATCATCTTATTATTTGTCAATTTTTAAAAAAAATTTTTAACAGATAGCTAAAAAAAAAAAATGACTGAAATCACCCATGTGTCATTCTACTAAGTCATCTATGTAAGAGTCTGAATAGGAGTTTTCTTTTGAATTTAATACCAGAAAAAAACCTGTCTCCCCTGAGGAATTAGCATGTTTCTTCCTTTCTAAGAAAATTATGAAATTTAACATGTTTTACTTTCTGCTTTGGCTGAAAATAAGTTGGGCAAAATTAATGTATGGGTAACAGACACTGGTATCTCTTACAATTAAAATATTTTATTGCTTTCTCTTTTTCCTCAGCTGAACTTTTTCATTTCTAATCTATTAACTACCCACCCCCAATGAAGCACACAATTTTAAAACCTTCATGGTAAGGACAAGAAGGCAGGAATTTAAAAATAAAAATAGTAGGAAAGATAGTGCAATCAATGCCTATAATTATATATGAATTGGCTTAAGACAGCTTTGTCTACCAAATTCCAGAATACTATAAGATAGGCTTACAACAAATAAAAAAAAGTGTAACTTCGTACAGGGTAAAATTCAATTATTAGTCTAAGGGGTCATATTGGCTAAATATAAATAGATTTATAAAAAGTTTGGCAGCTCCTTAATAGCTTAGACTAATCCGGGGCATTTAAAACCCTTTCTAAAGCTGAGGTTGAGGTTAAGGGGTTTAGTGATGACATTTATAATGGAGTCCTTAACACAGCTGGAAGCACTGCACAGGGCTAGGTGAACTGATAGATTTTTTTTATTATTACATAAAAGACTCCAAGGATAAAGTTGATCCTATAGGGATCTCAGTAAACTTCAATACTAAATATGTAAACAATGGAGATTCATTAAAATGTATTCTCAGGTAAAAATTATTAACTAATTAATAATTAATCTAGAACCCACTAGAGTAAGAAATTTAACTGCAGAGGGGAGACATCTGTCACAGGTGCCCTTCTGCCCAGCTCTGCTATCACTCCCTTTTTAAGTCAAGGAAGGTCTGAGATACTCACCTTTTGGCCAGCCTTAAATCACTAACTTACAAGACCCAATCTCGATTTTTTTAAAGTTTAAGACATAAGTCATAAACATAAAGAGACATCAAATTGTAATGTTCATAATAAATGCAAAGTCCAAAAATATGAAAATGGTTTTTACTGAAATAATTCTTTGTACTTACCCTAGAAAAAGAAACTGTTGTATTCTGATACTGTGAGTGTATTTGGAAAATAAGAAAAGTCACATTGCTTGAAATATCCTGTAAAATAGCTTCCTCTGGAAAGGGTCTGTTGAGTTCGAAGTATCTAAATTTCCCCACAGAAAATTCAAGAAGACCTACAATGGGAGAAACTTTTCATTATAACATCTGTACCTCTAACATCAATTTACAGAAATTACATTCATAAACAAATGTAGATTGCTACTGTAATTCTCGGAAAATTTCCTGGAGGTAAATATTATTGCTCCCATTTCACTGCTAAAGATAACTTAGCTTATAAGGTGAAGCAGCCCACTTAGGGTCATTTAGCTAGCAATGGTGGAGCTCAGAACTAAATTCGAAGAGAGGTATTTCAAAAGATGTAAACAATTCTTAAAGTGCTGATGATGGACTCCCAGAACCCAGGAAAATTTTCCATCTGATAGTATAATAATCCTCTTGAGAAGAGAGTCACTGAATTTAAGGATAAATAGGATGGGCGCAAGTGGCTCAGGCCTGTAACCCTAGCACTCTGGGAGGCCAAGGCGAGAGGATTGCTTGAGCCCAGGAATTTGAGACCAGCCTAGACAACATAGTGAGACCTTGCCTCTACCCCCGACCCCCCCCCAAATAAAAAGCCAGGAATGGTGATGCTCGCCTGTAGTCCCAGCTATTCAGGAGGTTGAGGTTGAGGCAGAAAGATTGTCTGAGCCCGAGGTATTCCAGCCTGGGCAAGAGCGAGACCCTGACTCAAAACAAAAGAACAAAAGGAAAGAAAAGGATAAACAACCCTATGGGGCTATTAACAATCACAAATGCACTAGTATTAAAGAATAATACCATCTAGTGAATTCTGAAGTCAGCATAGCTCAAAGAGATACAGGTGGCTTCAATTTTTTTTTTTTTTTTGAGTTGGAGTCTCACTCTGTCGCCCAGACTGGAGTGCAGTGGTGGCTCCTGGCCACCACAGCCTCAACCTGTTGGGCTCCGGCAATCCTTCCGCCTCAGCCTTCCAAGTAGCTAGAACTACAGGCGCGCGCTCCCACACCCAGCTGATTTTTGATTTATTGTAGAGATGAGGTCTCGCCAAGTTGCCCAGGCAGGTCTCGAGCCCGTGGGCTCAGGCAATCCACTCACCTCAGCCTCCCAAAGGCACGGGATTACAGGCTGAGCCACCGGGCTAGGGTGGCTTCAACTTAATACCAGTGCTTTCTGGCTGTGTGATTTTAAGCAAATTACTTAAGTTCCTGAAGCCTCAATTTCCTCAGCTGTCAAATGGGACTGTATTGCCTAACTTGCAAAGGAAGGTACCATCTACATTAGCAAAGATGTGCAGTCTGTTGAGTGACCACACCAAGCACTGTGATCATGAACCACAGGCATTCTGGAAAAGGGACCTTTTTTTTTAAGGATCAAGCTCAGAGTCCATAAAAAAGATAGGTTATAAAAGAATAGTTTTCCAACACTTCATCCAGGCCTCTCTCATCTGTCTATGAGCTTCCACGGTCTGTTTCTAACTCACTCACTCTGTCCACAGTTCTCTGTGATGTGTCTCCCTTCTGCACACCAGCTCTTTCTTCTTCATCTAATTCTCAAATAACCCATCCAATTAGGTTGCTTTTACTTCTGTGTGGTCCTGGACTCCCACCTCACTCTCACCCTGCAGGCAGCACATCGATACTTAAACAGAGAAGATCCTAAGCATCACATATGAGGATTCAATTCTAAGAGCAGAAAAATGATTTAAATTTAATATAGATGAAAAGGAGTTGATGATTAAAAGATTACAGTTCACCCGAGTCCCACAGTGGAACTATCATGTATTATTTTAGAAGGAAAGTAGATTCAGTGGGTGGTAAAAGACAACATGCCAGACACTAAATAACAACACATTTTTATGTACCATTTCCCAAGAAATAAAACAAAACAAAAAACTGGCAAGAATCATTAGCCTGTGAAAGGAAAGTCAAAAAAAGAGATAAAAATAATGCTAAAACTAGAAAAATGGTTAATCTCTATACATTTTCCCCAAACTTTGTGATGCTATATTATCTCCATAATGCAATGTTTAAAAAAAAAAAAAAAATTGGTGATAGAACAAAAGGTTATTTGTGGTTACAATTTAATTTCTAAGACTCCAGATAAAATCTAATTGTTATAACACTGACAAATGAAGATGATATATTTCCTCCTATTATGCAATCAGAAAGACTATTATTTTACATGGACCAAACTCCAGTGGGAATAGAGGTAAAAGTATTGGCTATTTGGACATCATCTTTGTGAAAGAGTCTGAGTCATCCACCTACTTTAAAAATTGGATTGTCTGTTCTTCTTGAATCTTAGGAGTTCATTACTCATCAAAGATAGGAGTATTTGCCAGATATGTGTTGCAAATGTCTTCTCCCTCTCTTGCAGCTCGCTTTTTCACTCCCTTATTACCTCTAGATTAACAGAAGTTTTAATTTTAACGTAGCTCAATTTCTCAAGTTTATCCTTTATGATTAGTCCTTTTTATGTCATTTAAAAGAAATCTTTGGCAACACATTCCAAGATCAGAAAAATATATTCCCTATGTTAACATCTAAAAGTTTGTTATATCCTTCACATTTAGAACTAAAATTCCACCTGACACTGATTTTTATATACACTGTAAGACAGGCATCATGGCTAACTTTTCCACATGTTATGTTTACTTGACATAGCAAACCATCATTAAAAATATCACCCTTGGCTGGGTTTGGTGGCTCATGTCTGTAATATCCCAGTGTTACATGCAACATAATCACGTACCCCAGGTATTTATACAATAAAATAATTTTAAAATATCACCCTCTCCCTACTGCTGGCAGTTCTACCTTTCACATAAGTCAAGTGAACATATGTGTTTGTTTCTGGATTCTCAATTGTGTTCTACTGGTTTGTGTATCCTAACACCAACATTACACTGTATTGCCTCCTGCCCCACATGCCTTCTTCTCCTCAAAATCATCTTGATCATTTTTCCATACAAACTTTAGAAATCAACCTGTTAATAACGACAAAGAAAAGCCTGTTGGGGTTTTAATTGGAATGGTCCCAAATGCAGATTAATTGGGGAGGACACATAATAGTACTAAGAATACCTGACCTAAACCAGGTGAAGTGAGAACCAATGGAAGGCCCAAACTTCACCTGTGTGTAGACAACTTATATATCTAATACTGACTTGTACTCCACATCTATAAAATAAAAAATATTTTTAAAATTTAGGAAGAAATTATATCTTTAAAGCATAGAATTATAATCCATGGACTTGAGATATTCTTCTATCTATTCAATTCTCAATTTATCTAAAAAATGTTGAGATTTATTATATAGTTTTCTCTGTAGGTCTTTACAAACCCCATTATAACTATCCCTAAAAATTTAATGTTTCTTGATGCTATTAAAAATATATTTTCTTCTTTTAAATTTCAATTTCTAGGTGTCTCTTCACCAATATACCTTTTATTAAAAGTTCTCCAGTTTAGAGTCTATAATACTCAGTGATCTATCACAGAAACAAAGAACTGAGTACCACATGTTCTCACTCACAAGTGGACCCTGAACATTCACCATAATACTATCAGAAAGGGATTGGGTCCAGGTTCGGTGGCTCAGCCTGTTATCCCAGCACTTTGGGAGGCCGAGGTGAATGGACTGCTTGAGCCTGAGGGTTTGAGACCAGCCCAAGGGCAACTTGGCAAGACCTCATCTCTGCAATAAATTTAAAAAACAGCCAGGTGTGGTAGTGCATGCTTGTAGTTCTGGCTACTTGGAAGGCTGAAGTGGAAGGATCACCTGAGCCTGGCAGGTCGATGCTGGGGTGACCAAGCATGCCACTGCATTCCAGCCTAGGCAACAGAGTGAGACTCTAATTCAAAAAAAAAAAGAAAGAAAAGAAAAAGAAAGGATTTGGCAGTAGCAGGATACTGCAAGGGGAGGGCGGGGGTAGAGAATGGAACACATCAGTAAGGGTACCTGATCTCAAACCAGGCAAAGTGGAGACCCAAGGGGAGGCCCCAACTTTACCTGTTCAATGTCCACTTGTATACCTAATCCTGAATTGGACCCCACACTGTTATAATAAAAAATAAATTAAAAAGAAGTCCTCCAGGAAATTCTTATATTTAGCCAGGTTTGAGAACTCCTAACTCAATGCTTAATGAATAAGTGAAGGATAAATATGCATTTTCTCCCATTCTTAGTTATCTGTGTGAAAATACTTTGGTAGTATAACCTTGGCAAGCCATTTCACAATTTTTGCATTAGATTACATTTTGTGTGTGTGTGTGTTGGAGTCTCACTCTGTCACCCAGACTGGAGTGCAGTGGCCGCTCCCGGCCACCGCAGCCTCGACCTGCTGGGCTCCGGTGATCCTTCTGCCTCAGCCTTCCAAGTAGCCGGAATTACAGGCATGCGCTACCACACCAGGCTGATTTTTTGATTTACTGTAGAGATGAGGTCTCGCTGCCCAGGCGGGTCTCGAACCCGCAGGCTCAGGCAATTCACTCACCTCAGCCTCCCAAAGGCGCGGGATTACAGGTTGAGCCACCGAGCCCGGCTGAGATTACATTTTAACCAAACCAGTTGTGATTTGACTTCTGGCTATACCAGGCTTTGTTATATTTGATGTTTTAACGCCTAGGACAGTACAGTCACCTAGTCAGCATATGGTAAATGTTTGTTAAATGATGGCTGGGCCAGGTGCAGTGGCTCAAGCCTGTAATCCCTGCACTTTGGGAGGCCGAAGTGAGAGGACTGCCTGAGCCCATGGGTTAGAGACCTGCCTGGGCAACTTGGTGAGAACTTGTGTGAGGACTGCCTGAGCCCATGGGTTAGAGACCAGCCTGGGCAACTTGGTGAGACCAAGAAATCAAAAAATTAGCCAGGCGTGATAGCGCACGCCTATAGTTCCAGCTACTTGGAAGGCTGAGGCTGGAGAATTGCCTGAGCCCAGCGGGTCAAGGCTACGGTAGCCTTTGAGCATGCCACTGCACTCTAGCCTGGGTAACAGAGTGAAACTCCAACTCAAAAAAAAAAAGAAAAAATGATGCTGAACTATGTGACCCTGATCAGGCAAGTGATCTATTTCCTCTGGGCTTCAGTTCCCTTG